GTGCATATCAGAAGTGTGACACACTTTCATTTGCATTTTCTTCAGCAGACTTTCTGAAAATTTGGTTATTTGCATTCAATTTGGACAGAAACCTGGCTTGTCACGCTTCATGTTTCGCTTAATATTCTACTCCAGAGCAAATTTAAAAAGTTGGAATTTTACACCATACAAATCTAGGCTTGACAGATAATGCCAAAAAACATTGAGAGAAAATGTAATGTGCTAAGCGGTTGCAGGCTGTAATCAGATATTTGCCTCTCATATAAATGTGAAATGTTCTCAGACACGTGAAATACTTTCACATACTACCAACATTCCTCTCATATACTTCTGAAAATGTTCGTATGTTCCATTAGATTGTTTCAGTTATACAGTATATGTGATATAATGTTTAGAGACAGTCCACCTGTAAACAAAAAAAGATTTTATATGTCATTTGTTGCAGGAAATTATGATGGCCAACAGTTATGTATTATAGTTTGGCTACTTGCCTAACATCTAACCTTAAATCAAGTTGTTGTCCTAAAATGTAATGATTTACATGATGGGGATCACAAGGAAGGTCAAGTCCTGACAGTGTGAGAAATACCAGGTGTGCAAACACACGCACACAAACACTGTCCCATCAATCTAGCTTCATATTCAAGCATAACCAGACCTTTCGGCTGTGGAGGCAGTGACCCATCCTCTCCTCCTTCCATCACCACGTCCCTTCATCAACCACACTTTCATCTCTCCCTGTTTCATTTCTCTCTACTGATTTCTGTCCAGCAAAAGGGGACTAAGAAAGAGCTGGCGAGAGGAGAGCAGAGGAAACAAATGTATTTGTGAAGCAGCTTAGCAAAACATAAACTATATATTGTTAACATAATGTTCAACAGATACACTATAACCCAGTAACAAAATAAATATATTTTGTTTTAACTCAGTAGGCAATGTCTGGCCAACTGACTACTGGCATATCAGAAATACATACATTATTTTGCTGTGACCTATAAACTGCCAGGAATGCTTTAAAATGTAAATATTGTAGAAGTAATGTGTCCTAGTAATATGGTTGTCTTTCATCTTTATAGCTCTAAAGTTGAGGTGAGTGATCATTTTCAGTGTTTACTACATATTGAATAATCTTTTTAGTGACATTCAGTTGTTTAGTTGCTCTGTGCTCTGACAGAGTGAGTTCAAGAGACCACAGCATTATGATGAACAAGGCAAATAAATGTATATAAATGTATATAAATGAGTGTCACCTGCTTAGTTATGGTAAACAGCCATTGAATAATTTGGTCTAAAGGAAACATTAACAGTAAAAGTTGAATGTAATAAATAAGAGATGTGCATAGTTCCTGTACATTCAGCTGTGTATTTCTTCATTTTTATATAGTTTTTAATTATATATTTGTTTATTGTATACTCTGTTCATCTCTTGTTTAATTATACCTTTTTATTTTTTATCTTTAACTACAGTCATTTCATTTTACAGTTTTTTATTATTCTATTTCCAATTTTGCTTGTTATAGTGATCGACTAAAATAAAGACTACTGTCAATATAGGTAAGAATCAGTCCACTCCAGTAGAGACCAGTCGCATCTTTTACCACAGCAGTTTATTGTTTTAATACAATCAGAACAACATAGTCCTGAAGGTGTGCGTGAGCGTGTGTTGTGATCTCAGGGTCAAAACTTGTGACTGGCTTTGGCGCGGGGCCCCCCACACTTGCCCAACACAGTGAGTTTTTACTAGCCCACCTTGTTTTACAGAGTCTTTCTAATGAACTGTCTCTGTTTGATCCATTGTTACAGTTGTTCTCCTCTTCTTTTTCTGAGTGCAAACAGTCACAACTGTGGTCCCCAGTATTACTGTGGTGTGGAAATAGTTATCACCGATAGTACCAAGGGAAACAGGAGATCCATGTGTGTGTGTGTCTGTCTGTGTCTGTGTGTCCGAGACAGACAGAGATTGTTTTTGGGGATATGCCCACCACATGGTGCCTCCAGATGTGTGCGTCTGCGTAACCTAATTGAGTCTGAGCCCCAGGGGTGTTGGGGAGGCTGAGAGAGAGAGTGCGTGTGTGTTTTGTGTATGTGTAATGTGGGAGGTTTGGGGATGAAGGGTGTGGACGCAGGTGTTTTAAATGGGAAGAATGAAGAGGACACAGAGGTTTACAGGAACTCACGCTTGCTGTTCACCCCTGTGATTTTACAGTTCAGTATCTATGTCATGCATGTTGTACTTTAGCTAAAAAAACATCCCTGTCTAATGTAAATTCAGTTTACATTTGCACCTATGTCTAAATATAATGCTACACAGAGTATGTTGTTTGTCAATGTGACAGGAAAAATTTACACTGAATGTATCTAAAAGCTGTTTCATTTTTAGGATTATGTTTAGGCATCTCAAAGCATTTAGTTAAGGTCAAGGATGACGATATAAGTATTTGTTGTACTGGTTTATCAGTAGATTTACTTTTTATACATAATAATTTTTATAATATTACCAGAATGGAAATAAGTCTTATGCTGTGCCTGACACCACTTTCTCATTCACTGCACCCTATATAATAGACACTAAATAATTCACTCAGTAATGAGCAGAAAATCAAGATTTCAGACACTCGTGAGTCATTGTCATGTTGTCATCACTGACAAGTGTAGAGACACAGATGGGTCATTGTCACAGCTACAAAATACATGCTTTGCATTGTGGGATGTTCGTAGAAAATAATACTAAAGCAGTACTTTCAGCATTTTTATCATTTCATCATTGAAATTTTTGAAAGCACTATATAGTGCTTCAGTTTCACTCACTGTGGACACATAAAATGGAAAAGGGGATCATAGTGCACTGTGTAGTTACAGAATGATTTTGGAGACAGCCCTGAATTTTATTGTGTATCCTTCACCCTTGTAATTATATGCAATGCAGTATCTTCATTTTCATAATGTTAAATGAACTTACTTTAGTTAACTAGTTTTGGTTAATATTGAAAAAAATCAACACTGACCTGAAGCATAATATTCAGTGTGTTAACTCTTTCAATAACCAAGATCTAAACCAAGTGTTTTAGTTGTCTAAACCTGACAGTGTGTGTCAAATAAGATGTGAGGCCCATTCCATAATGTCAAAACCTGGGGTAAGTCACATGTCCAAGTTTCTTGCAGGTACAGACAAAAACAACAATTCCTCTAAAACATACCTGTATGACATGTCACACACCTGACCTCAGATCAGTTTAATTTTAGCCCTCAAAGCTCTAAACTACCATGTTGAGAATAGGTTAAACACACAGAGTAAATAATCTCTCCCTCTCTGTTTCTCTCTGTCTCACACACACACACACACACACACACACACACACACACACACACACGTACACAGATTTTCCAAGCTCCAAAAAGTGAAAACATCATTTTCATAATAGCAGGTTGAGCAAGTGTTCATTTATAGCCGTACTGTCGCAAGAGCCGAAGCCGGCCCAGTTCGCACATGCCTCCTGACCTCAATATAAAACTTCACTTACACTTCGGAGGTTCTCAGGAGTTTCTTGTTGTGTTTTCTAAAAATAAAAATACACTGTAGGGGGGTATAGAAGTAGACATCAGATTTAATATTGACCAAACAGCCTTAAATACTATTGGCTTAGCCTTAGTGGTTCTCATTTGTTCTGAATGACTTCCATACGTCTGACAAATCTGGTTGTAGCTTTGTGGTTGCAAAGGCGCCAGCTTGGCAATGTCCTTTTTTTTATTGTCATCTAGCAAGTTTCTGTTGACTCAGAGTTTTATTTCTTTCTCTGTGTATTGTGAATTTCAAATTTTACTATATGTCACAAAAACAAAAACAAAAAAACAATCAACAACTTGAATGCTGATTTGCTCAGTCAAGAAGATTGAAGACTGGCAACTAACAAGGGACCCTCTGTTAAACACATACACTTGGAGAGCTGAGACTTACACACTCACACACAACCACAAACAATCAACATACACTCACAAGCAGTAATAGATCAAGTGCAAGTACTCACACCGAGGCCTCTTGTCTGTGACAGCTGAGCAGAGAGGAGTTGTATTTTTACTTTGGCACATATGGCTGAGCGAAATGCCAACTCTTAGCCTTGAGAAACTCACAGACACACACGCCGAAACACAGATGCACATGGAGACACACACCCTTAGACACAACAGGTCAAGCCCAACAAACCGCCACTGTGGCCGCAGAACATAAACAACTTTAACACACTTTGTGAATCATCTGAGCATTTCAATATTGTTTTAGATAAATATATTCAGCCACACATATAAATACATGCAACCATAATGATTCCCTGAGACCACAAATGACCATGACGGGAAGTCAGTTCCCACAGTTTCAGCAGCAGTGCAGCCCAGCCCTACAGTACTGGAAATCCACAGTTTACAGTACAGTGGACTGGGCTGTGAGTGGAAGGTGCTTAATGACAACAAACATCAGGTTGTTGTGTCAAATGCAACCTGTGACTGTTCTGTTCTGTCTGCAAAACATGAAACATCAGAAGGGAAACCTGTTTTGATGTTATGCTACTTATACCTACCTTGGTCTGTCATGCTCACTTTCTCCTCTCCATCTTCTCACACACTCACACACACTCCCAGCAGGTAGCAGCTGGTGGACTGCTAATCTCCATTAGCTAATGAACTGGTTTCTAAGGAGAGAGCCATGTAAAATCTGTCCTCTCATTCCTCTCACTCCTTCATCCAAGTAAAGCACCATAGCTGTGACAGTGAGAAAGCACGATATTTTTTCCTTTATGATACAACCATAGTGAATAAGCTACACAAGCCTGACACACACAAACATACCAGTGTGTGCACCAACGACTCATCTAAATGACCTCAGGCTTCCTTTGCAGTAATCTCATTAAGCAAAGAGCAAAGCAAAGACAAACTTGCAATATTTGACTTAACAATGCAGAAGAATTGAGTGATAACATAAAAAAGATAAAAGATAAAACAGGACTTACAGTCTGTAAAGCTTTGTCGTTCCCAGGAAAAGCAGCTCGGGGAAGACAGCCAGGTTATTCCGATTCAGGCGCCTGGAAATGCACAGCATAAATTAGAGAATAAACTCTACTTTGACCCTTCCAGACAGTATGGGTGAAGCGGTTACATGTGTGTAATTAGCTTTTTAAAGTGAGATTTATGTTTCCTGATCACCATATGTCATTTTGACTGTACTGCAATTCAGTTTATTTACAGGAAGTAGGGAGATTGATGGAGACGCTTAAAAAAAAAACACACACAGACACATTTGTGGATGGATATGCAAAAAAAACAGATCCTGGGTTACCCCTGATTTAATAGGTACAACATGGCTGCCAGGCAAATAGTTAACTGGAGAAGAACGAAGGGAAGGCAGGGGGGAGGAAGACAAGAGAAGGGGTTTGGACGGGGAAGGGAGACTTCTTTTTTTTTTTAACCACAAAGGCGGAGGAGAGGAGATGATGTGGGAAAAACAAACAGGCGGTCTGGCTGGGCTACCGAATGTGTGAAAAGGACCCCACTGAGTAAACAAGGCCCTCACAGGGGAAGAACTCACAACATCCCATCATCACACATACACATACACACAAACAGAGGAGTTGAGGGAGCTCGGGTGAGTTTAATAATCTGGGTGCGATCATTTAACCCTGGTTGAGTGGAGTGAAGAGGTTTGTGTGCTGGTGTGTGTGGTCATGCCTTGATGTGAGTCAGAGGAAAGTGAGGCAACTAAGTAACACAATGAGAGACAGGCTGCTGAAACAGCTTAACCCTGACACACAGACACACACATTGACAGGACCAGAGACTGATGTTGTGCTGGCGAGGAATGAAGAGAGGGAAGAATTAAATGCATGATGGAGGCTTAATGAAGGAAGAATGGCTTCAAACCAATAAGAAAAATGTTAAATCTCTGACTAACATTACATGGTTTGTTAGATGTACACACACAAACACATATTAATCCCAGAAATGCTGCAGACTTTACTCAAACCAAACACCAACTCCATTCAAAACTCCTAAAACCTCTCTTAATTCTCTCCGGTTCCTCTGTAACCCTTAGCTGACGCAGACTCTCCTTAAATAATGTCACCCCTTCGTGTCCATCTTCCACCCACAAGTGCACAAATATATGATTGTGCTTGAGCACTTGCACACACATTCACACTCCACAGTTCCTCAGTTACATCAGAGGCTGCTTAAATATTTCACATGGTGCAGAAATGATGTTTCTGAATTATTCATTCCTCTTCCGTTAGTGCCAGCTCAGGCAGCTAAGAGCCCCACGTGGTCCCGCGGAGAGGCCCACTCCCCCAGCAGGTCCTGCCCAGCCATGAGCACCCATTAGTGGGCTAGACCTCCGCTGGGAGAGTGCATGGACTTGTACTGGAGGTGGGGAGGAGGAAGGAGGACAGAGAGGGGGTATGAGCTCATCCTCTTAAAATAGATGCATTGCTGTCATACTAGGACACTAAGAGAATGAAGTAAAGACACAGATTAAAACCAGCCTGGTTCTGTCTTAGTGATTTGAATTGTTTCATTCAGTTCCCACTTAAATATCTGTAGTTACTGACTATGTTCACTGTTATCTGAGCTAACTGATTACATTGATCAACTTCAACACATATACCGATCAGCCATAACATTATGACCACTGACATGTGAAGTGAATAACATTGATTATCTCATTACTGTGGCACCTGTCAGTGTGTGGGGTATGTTAGGCAGCAAGTGGGACGACAGTGGTGCAAGGGGTAGAGTAGTCATCTCCTAACTGCAAGGTTGAAGGTTCGAATCTCGGTGCCTGCTGTCGAAGTGTCCTTGGGCAAGACACTGAACCCACAAGTTGCCTGTGATGGCAACGTGTATGCACGCAGCGGCCTGGGGCCCTCGGCTCCAAACAAAATTTCGTTGTATGTGTCACAATGTTACAATAAAATAAATTCATTCCTTGATGTTGGAGGAAAAATGGGCAAGTATAAGGATCTGAGTGACTTTGACAAGGGTCAAACTGTGATGGCTGACGACTGGGTCAGAGCGTCTCCCAGACTGCAGGTCTTGGTGGGTGTTCCTGGTCTGCAGTGGTCAGTACCTACCAACAGTGTCTAAGGAAGGACAAACAGTGAACTGGTGACAGGGTCATGGACGCCCAGGGCTCACTGATGATGAGGTTGATCCACTGTAGATTCAACTTTTACATTGCATTCATCCTTTTGAAAAGATTCCATTTTGTTTGACTCTATGTTAAAATGGGTGAAAATCAGAAATACTGTACATTGGTCTCTATGAAGAGAAACATTCAACAGCTATAGTGGTGATATCACATTTTTGTATTTCTCCATTGTCACGATTCGGTTCCGTTGCTTCCTGTCAGGCTTTTATTTTTACATTACTTCCTGTTTTTGTTTTTCACCTCTGTTTCGGTCACTTTACGTTCACTAATCACTTACATTAGTTTCACCTGCTCCAGATAGTTTGCACCTGTTCGCACCATAATATAAGCAGTCTTCACCCTGCTATCCCTGCCAGATTGTTCTAGACTCTAGCTCTGACTCTCCAGCATCCATACCTTGCCTGACTCTGTTTCTGACCTTGGATTGTTTGTTTTGACCACCGTTTATTGCCTATGTCCTTCCAGTGTCTGATTGCCTGCAGTGTACCGACCTTCTGAGCCTCCCCTGGACCTCTTGAGTTTTGAATCCCCTGGCTACACCTGTTTACCGGCGCTGACCCTGGACTGTCTTTTCGACCTGATTGTTATACCTGGACTGTGTATTGGTTGCCTAGTTATCACAAGTAAAAACCTTTTTGTTCAATCAGTTCGTCTGGTTTTATAATTGAGTCCACCACTAACACCGTTTGACGTCCTTATACGCCAAATCTGACATCTATAACATCATGTCTAACTTGTTCAGTGTTTCATTGAATGGTCGACACGCTCTTCCTAATAGTAAAACTATAGAAGCAAATGGATTCACAGAAGATGCACAATGAGCTATAGAGTGACATGAGTGCCAACCAACTGCCACACTGACTCCTGTGTACACAGTATTAGGCAGGTGGTCATAATGATCAGTGTACATCAGTACATTAAAGGTTCCTAATGGGCTTTTAAAGCTATGGAGCTGTGTCTTTATGTGTGTTCCCATTTGTTGGCTGACTTGTAACACTAAATATAATAATAGCTTTAGCTTTTTTTTTTTTTTTTTTACAAGAAGACGTCACGACACCTACTGCGAAACATAATGCAATGAAGTTCGGCACTGATTCTGTCTTCAGTTCACTAGTATGTGCAGCCTGCTCCTGGTGCATTGTTAGCTTATACAAAACTAGGCCCATGTGACATGTTGATAAGGTCATCTTGCAAATATTTGTTATTACAATTGAACCTGCAGTAATGATCATGTTCTGTGACTTTTGTGGTCAGAAAGATTTTCACACAGTAACATAATGTAAATCAAAGGCTAAGCAAACAAGAGCAATCTCCAGGCACCAGTGAGAGGAGCTCCACCACTAGGAGCTACCGATCATTCACTGACAACGATCAGCAGTTCAGTCAGTTCAGTTTAAAGATTCAGTGCTATAGATTTCTTTGTGTTTGTACTGAACACCTCCAGTGTGCATCTAAAAGTATTGGCTGCTTCTGACTCAAATAATCAAGTAATCTGTAGAGGTTTTGTTTCTGGAACTCGAGGAATATGTCTTTCAAAACTTTGTGCGTGTGCGTGCACATACTATAAACATCCTCAGAGTACCTCCACAGTCATGTCTCATTAGTCAAACTGTGGCTGAAAGTGAATGAAGACTGAGTAGCAAGTAGTCTGAGGTGTGAGAGTCTCTCCAACAAGCTGATGTCACAGTGTAGCGTGGTGATAATCCTTGCAGTCATAAACAGATGCAAGAGGGCCACAAAGTAAACACACACACACACACATTCTCCAAACATACAGTGTGTCAGAGCTTCAGCCTCACACGCATGCACAACTACACAAATATAGAAGAGAGAAACACACACGTACATACAGTCCTAAGAGCCAAGAGCTTCATAGCTGTGTACTACAGGCTTGTTCTGGCTGGAAAGGAAATAACAAACCACCCCAGAAACCAATTATTACTCCACCAGTGCCGCTACTACCACAGTACACATTTTGTACTAACAACCTGTCACATAAACACACAAAGTGAACCAAATCTAATCACCCACTAAAGGTTTAGACACTCTAATCTGATCTGTTATTTAAACAATAATGACAGATACCATCTCCAGTCTTCTCACCTGAACTGTAACGTCTTTTGCTATCACCAAAAATCACTCAGATTCAACAATATCAAGCAGGTTTTCCCCAAACTTTGAGCTAACTAATATAACAAATGTTGTCTGCTGCAGAGCGGAGCACATGCAGGCAGAGCCCCTAGAAAATCTATCACAAATGACTTTTTAGACAGAACTGGTGCAGTGAAAATGTTTTGTGTGTGTGTGTGTGCGTGTGTCTTCACACTGCAGATAATTTCAAGCTCTAGTGCTCAATAAAAATGAAAAAAACATTTGAAATTTTACCTTGAAATGATCAGCGAGAACAATGTTATCACTCACAGGCTTTAGAGCCAATAATTTAGCCTAATCCAGGGCTTAAAAAATCCATACCCCCCTCTCTGGGATCACTGTTACAATTATCTTTTGTTATTCCGATTGCCCGCATACAACATTACAACATAATCACTTGATTTGAGGTTTTATTATCCAGTTTCTACTCGCTGTTGATAGACACATCTCACTACCTGTAATCAGTTCTCCAGTTATTCATCGCTGTTAAAATTACCTTTCACAATGTGATCACTCAATTACAGGCTAATTATCAAAGGCTTTATCTCACCGCTGCTCTTTGGAATCATTGTCTCAATACCTGTAATTACTGTTTCGTTTCTACCCTGCATGTCTGTGGCTGTTATCTCCTTCAATCACAGACTTCAAATTGGATAGGGGCAATAAACCAGTCAAATGTGAGAAGAAGATAAGAGGACTGGGGACTGTTCCCTTCCCTATTCTGCACCCACAGGGAGAGAGTGAAGAATGTATGACATTCCTATATGCACAGGACAATAGAGAGGGAGACTGAGCTGGGTGGAAGAAAAACACAAGGAGAGGGTGAAGCAGGAAAGTGTGTTTGGGGTGGGGGGGCAAACCAAGATAAAACCGGTACTGACAGAGCAGCCTTGCATAAGTGAATGTGCATGCATGTGTGTATCCATACCCATGCATCTATTTATGTGTGTGCATGTTCCTAGCTCCTCCACGTCTCCTTCGACTACCTACCCCTCCTCCATTCACCCCAGCTACTGCCCCACACCTGACCCCACCCTACCCAGCCCCGCAGGGCTTGTCGTAAAGAAGGATGAGAAGGGGAACCGTTTTCCACCTCTGTGGGGGGCAGTCAGTGTGGATCTGTCACCACAGCTTAGGGCCCTCTCCAGTGGTGCCCAGCAGGCTTCCTCTAGCCCCCGAGTGGATG